GGAAGCACTGTCTGACGCGTCTGCCTCCGCGACCCGAAAGGAGAAGCGGCGATGGAAGATGAAGATATAACTTATCCATAATCACCGTGCCATCACCTTTACACGCTTTCTTGTACTGCAATTTACTTTTAACAATTAAATTGCTGTAAACTCTGTTGCGCTTAAGGTTTACGCAGTTTAGTTAGAAATAAAGTTTACGGAGGTGTTGTATATAGTTTCAAGTAAGGGGAAAGATTTATTAGTAACGCTAGTTTCAGCTGTTATTTAAAAGAGTCATCTGATTCTTCGAGAGTTGGACATTGCTTAAACATAGTACAGTTTTGCTGTTGCTGTTAACGAAGAGACTGTTAACGAGTTTTGTAACGAAGGCTTTAGTTTCTTTATTTTAGGTACTGGTGAATCATACTACTGCGCGTTATGTATAAGTAAATCCGTTTGCTGCTTTTTATTACATAATACATACAGAAAGCAAAAGACGACTTTAAAGAAACAGGATTCGTGAGGGCACTAATTTAGTTAGGCACCACTGTATTTGCGAGAGCTTGTTTTTGGATGACGAAGTTTCCTCGTGCAGCGGAACTCCACTGTTAAATTTGAATGAGTGTGTAGTACCTTGGGGTATTGGTTTTCAGCAAAGGTGATAGAACTGGCATAAACGGAATTCACCGTAGTCTTAGTCACGAGACCTCACTGCAGTTCTTTCTATCACACGGCTGCTATGATGCATTGTCGTAGGAGCGCAGAATCATACCCTTTTAAGGTCCAAAAAAAGCATAAGTGATAATTGCCATTAAACAACACCTTATAATTCGAAAAACCAAATAAAGATTGGTTCCAAATAAGGGTAAATGATGAATGCAAAAGTATGGCGTTCATCACCTTGTTGAAGACGTAAATCATGTAATCAGTCCATGTTAGCTTGTCAATAATTACTACCTAAGGTACTTAACATTTTTAACTCGGGTGATCAGCGTCCAGATAAGATTAGTTTCTTCTTTAGTAAGGTTGGAGGCGAATGATTCGGTGTGTTTAGAGGAATAAATACACGGTCCACACACTTGCTGAGGATGAGGATAAATCCATGTGAGTTGGACCAGTCGAGCAGTTTCTTCCTGCGGTTGCTATATTGTTCGAGGGCATTGCGATTTCCGACAACTGCAATGACTTTAATCTTACGACACATCTCTTCGTACCCATCAAAAACTATGAAAACTAAATGCGTAATAACATCCAAAATGTATGTAGTTGAGTAAAAAACAACTGGAGTTAAGCTGAATCCATTTAAATCAAAAGACCGTGCAGTAACGCACGAATTAAATTCTCTAAATCGATGAATGTGGTACTTAGTCAAACCCAGCTTAAAATCAAATTGCTTTTAAGCTCAGATGAAGATCCAATAATCGTGGCTAACGAGATGCTTTGTACGAAATCAGAAGTCAAGTACCTCGTTGTTATTCTTGAAAACAGCATGCACTGAAGAAAGCACGCTGCCTGCGTAAGTGAGAATGAATGCAAAGTTGCCTCGTTCCTCAGGCAGTCGAAATAGGTTCAAGTACCGTCAAAGCATCTGCAGTCTTAGGCGAAGAAGCGCGTACGACCTCTGAAACAATATGCGGTACCAATTCAACTTTCTTACGCGACTCAGGACTGGTTCATGTTTCGGAAAGGGATGAAAATGACGCTTTCCTTGCTCATCTGCACCCAAAAAAGAAACGGACATTATCACTACAAAAAGTGATCCAATCGGCGGCTTTATCTGTCTTAAAGATCCGATAGACTGAACGAGCGGATAGATTCTACAAACAATGTGCTAACAGCTTGCATATTTAAGTGTCAGTCAACCAGAAACAAATTCATACTTGCTGTTTGTCGTACGGTAGTTTACTACAACTGATCGGTTCTACCATTTATCGCTCGGTGCTATTTTAATCCCGAAGTTGAGCATACGTAGATCCTCCAACAACTCAATCCTCAAATGTAATTTTGCGCATCATCACGTTAAATGTTCCTGCTCTTCCTTTGTATACTCTTGCACATTATTGTCATGTTCTTCACGCGCTCTACTCAAGGTAAATTGTTGTGGCCTCACTGATCCACAAAGTAAATTTCATTGACAATACAAATGAACACAGTTTCCGGATTGCAACGTCGAAACTGTGCGATGTAGTAAAGAAAAAAATCTATTGCTTACTTTACATAGACACTGCGGTAGTGTAAGAAAGATGGCAATCTTACCGCAGCATTGTACTACCCTCTAGTCGCCTAGTGCGACCACTTAAGCAAGCCACGACTTCGGAAATGACACTTTAAATTACAATGAATCGAATCGCACATTTAAAACATTCGCGGAAGTTTGTGTAAAATCATAACCAGAAGATCGTGGCAATTTCAGAAGTGACACCAATTTACGCATTTAAGAAAAACAATCTCTTGGAACAAAAGAACTAATTGGTACGAAAACCATCAGCATCATGGTCAAGTATTTTGGCACGAAGAAGGTCAAGTGCCAACATTATTTTTTATACTCTCAACGTTTCTACAATTTAAACTGATTTTTAAATAAAGCAATTATTAAAATCTACGTTCAATTTACTGTCAACTTCGGACTACATTTCTGAGTCCATATTTTTCAACGCAAAGTCTCAGTAACGCTAAAACATGTCTGTGCCTCCGGTATATTGCTGCTAGTCCAGCTTCGGTTAAAACCGGATACAAATGGTCCACCCGAAGCTGAGTATCCAATGCCGTAGCGATATCTTGCTGTGCGAAACGCAGCAGAGATAAATACGTGCTGTTCCGGATACGGCAGCACTGATACAGAGGGGCCAAAATGCTCAGCTCATCAACGTTGCTGTTTCTTAGCCCCTTTCCATTGTCCAGCAGTGCCAACCTCTGAAATTGATATACCTTTGAGGCAGTAAATTCTAGTAAATGGCGATCGGCGTTACCCATAAGATAGTCGAACACCGCCATGTCTATCAGGTCCAAGAACACGGCTTCTGATCCGAAGAAACTGTGGTTTTTCAGTCCTCGGCATAATGAGCAATTGGTCACGGATGAAGGACTCGAATGAGTTATGTAGTCTCTACACCACGGACTTCGCATACGCGAGAATGGAAGAAGTTTTTCGGGCAGAAACAGTACGACACTGCCTTCCAGGTATCCATCATGGTCAGCGCAAACGGGATTGCGAATGTCACAGTACAAACAATGACCATAAAAACAAAAGCTGCCATTGGACGAATACAAAAACGTTCTTTTGAGATTTTCCTCTGAGGTAACGAAAAGTTCGTTTTTCAAGTGAACTTTACGACCAACAACAACGGGTGTGCGACGAATATTTAAGATTCGACTCAAGTGAAAGGCGACGATTTCGCTATTGTGTCTGTCGGGTCCATCGTATGGTTTGCCGAAGATTTGTTCCGTTATTTCGACGATTTTCGGTTTCCAAAGTGCACGCTGGCCACCTTCCAGTAAAAGTTCTATCTTCAGCTGTGATCCGCGCTTTGGCACCGAACTTAAGACGATCTTGGCTGAAGAGACGGCAGCCACAACATCCTCAATTCGGACGTGTTCGTCAAAGAAACCATCCGCAGTAGTTCTGTCAGCCACTTCTTTCCAGAGCACTTCAAAAGGAGACGATGGCCCGACATGCGTTCTAATCGCGTCATTGGCAGACATACGGTTTATTGTGAAGTCCTTTTCCTTGTTGAACAAATCTGAGATCGAACGCAAAAGGTATTCGTTCCAATCCTCGGCAATGTTTTGAGGATATAACCCGTAACAATCTCCTTTTTCCGGTATCAAATTCTCTGACTTCTCAGTTTCTGAAGGATGCTGAATTCTGACCAGTTCTTGAGGTGAATCAAACCGGTTCAAAAACGGCACATGTAACCAAATCATTAGATAAAACGGTATAAGACACGACACCAAAAACAAGACAAACAAAATACGAGCAAAGAAGTGACATCGAAATTTTCTTCCAATAAACACAGTTTTCAAAATCATCTTTGTCCAGTCAGTTTGCAACAGTCTTTGTGATACGTCTTCACCAGAACCATTTCCATCTCATCAGACTTAAAAGTTGAGTACATTTTCAAAAGTAGTGAAAAAAACTAACGAAAAATGAAACTGATTTTGACAATAAACTTCAAACACCTGCTTGGCCATTGACGGCAATCTATACGAAAACATCAGAAAACAAAAAGCTTTGATTTAACTGCCTTTCCAAGAGTGATACAACGCTTCCACAAAACTATCCTGAATTCAACGCATCTACTTCCAAAGTCAAGATATCGCAGGAGAAACCGTACACCTGCATTGATACACAAGTGTGGAAAAACTGTTAAAAGAAAATGAAACTAGGTAAAACCGCAATGTTTTGGAAAAGCTTGCATGAGCGGGAGCTAGCGTCGAACATCTGAGCTATATTTTGTTTTATTTTCCTTGTATTTACCTACGGAGAGTAGCAACATTATTTAGGCTAAAATATGCCCTTGCTTAACCCAATTCAGAGACGCAGTCGTGTGTCCTATGAACTGTGGGCGCTTAAATACGATTGAGCCAGGGTCTCCTTAAATGGTCTCAGCAGACGATTAGAAGCAAGGGCTGAATAATATTGCGCTATAACCGGGTGTAAGTCTGTCTTACATTTCTGCAACATTGGTGTGACATGAAGAAAAAGTTTTTTTTTACGGAAAGCTTACAAAATGTAAATCAGGTATCAGTATTTGAAAATTGTTGAGAGCTGTATTGTCACTGAGTTTCAAGTCGCAGCTGTAAATCTGGCAGCATCATAGCACCAGTAATCATAAGTAAGCTATTTCATGGTTTTAAAAACATTACTTAAGGGACTTACGGTCGCGAACTTACCTCACCCACTAATCTTGGTAGCAATGCTACAATGTTATTCGAGGATACTAAGCATCGTGATAAGAAACTCAGCAAAGTTTATGCGCAAGATAAAAGTTGAATATCCAGTTAAAAAGGGTCAATAAGGTCAATAACAAACGCGCATACGCGAAGATGCATTTTTTATCTCACCAATGATTTGGGAAATGATTCAAACTGTTAGAAACTTAGTAGAATTCAAACTGAATATATATCAGAATTTAAAAAAAGAATCAATATTATGCACATCAGAACTGATACAAACAAAGTATAAGTGGCAATATCTAATTAGCAAGCAAACATTCGGCTTGACAATAGCGCAATAAAAAAATGAAGATAATGTAGTGTTCGGTCGCTCGCCTATGCTGAATAATTTAAAATTCACATCCGATTGAGATGTTGGCAAAAATTCATAGGAAGCTGAAGCATTCGTTTCTGGTGTAGACATGTGTTGGAAAATTTATGGCATACTCACGGTCAAGGGTTTAAGATGAGGCGTTCTTTTATTCATTAATGGGGACACTATGCCAGAGTCACACCAAAAAATCAGAAAATCTAATGAAGCAGCAATGTTGGGTTATGTTTCCAGGCCTATCCACTGCTAATACCAATTTTCTGATAATCAGAATAATGTCATTCAGCAAACCGTATTCGGCGATTAATTCATGATTTTGACAGGTTAGCTAATTCTTGTAAGCTTTTATATTTAAATTTTGCATACCTTAATTTCCTTTTTCTGAAGATTATAGCTGCTTGGTGGAAACAATTAAGAACCGTAATCTTTCAAATACCTAAAGTCAGTTTCTTCCAACCGGCATACATTATAACGAATTTCATGATCGTAAATTGATATAAGCAATATGCAATCGCTCTGTCATAAGGATTTAGTAAGCTCTTCGTTTACTGAATAGTTGTGTTACAGCTGCCATATTGAAGTTGCTGCGTCGTTGGTTGATCTGATTGTCGTTTGTTGCCAGTTACAACTGCGAGCGAAATGGGAACCCGTGTGTACGTAGGCCGACTGCCATACCGTGCAACAGAGAGGGATGTAGAGCGTTTTTTCCAAGGATACGGACATGTCAGAGAGATATTTCTGAAAAATGGTTACGGCTTCGTGGAGTTCGATGATTATCGTGATGCAGATGATGCTTGTTACGAACTAAACGGACGCGAATTGATGGGTGAAAGGTAAAAATTTTTCTCTTGTTTTATTCCTGTAAAGTATGACGATAAAATTTCGACGAATGAGCTGATGACTACTAATCAAATGAATTTTCAAAACTTATGCTGTTTTCTCTTTTTATAGCGCTTGTAGGAAAATGTCCTGATGTTAGAATCACTGAGATTTGTGTACGCAGTATATCTGTGCTTTATAGAGTTCGGAGCTGAAAGTGCGTTACGAGGACATGCAGCATAGATTCGTGTCGGTTGTTCAGTGAGCGTACCCAGGAAATTTGCACAAGCAGTCGCTTTAAATATTGATCGCTTTTTAGGGTCAGCCATTCGTAAAGTTCGACTGACGTGACGTTTCTTTGCGAAAGCTAGTCCGTTGTGCATACGTCAATTCCATGTGTAGGCTAGCATTGGCGAACTGGCGAAATTTTTTGTTCTTGTCTTGGCCAGAAATGAACTGAAACTTACCGAAGCGCATTGCAAATTTTACCAGTAGTTAAGAATTCATTCCTGCTGTTTTCGTTTTTTGTGAGGGACTGATGCCAATCTTGCAATCAGCTAATAGTGGGAGGTTTTAGGTTGCACATTTCAGTGCTTCTGCAAATTTTGCGAGCTCCATCACCTCGCAATAAATTTTTTTGAGCACAAAACCATTACACCAAACACCGATTAGGAAATTTGCTGAACTTGCTGACGAAGGATTTTTTTTTGGATCACTGAAAGTTAAATTTCGTACGATTGTGTTAGCTGATAGATTACCAACAGATTATTACATTAGCGAGGTACGATTATGGTGCATGATTGCAATGTCTTTTAAACTATCATGAGAAGGAAGAACCTTGTTTGTTTTCTTTATTCCGGCTGAAAAATATCCAGCCCCTTCATAAAATCAGCACAGGCTGACATGAAAAATGAGTTAGCCATTGACAAGCCCTACAGCCGATTTACTCTGGAGTATATCTCAGCATATGTGCACTTCCTGACGTTGTTAAGAGACTCATGCGGAGAAAGTCATTCAGCTGCTACAGTATTATTTTCTTTATCAAAAATCTATGCAAGCTCTTCATATTTTATTCCTCGCAGATGAAAAGCTGTGGTAACGAGGCATTCAGAAAAACCATCAGGACACTGCCTGGTTGGATTCACATCTGCGATATAGGGCAGATGCAGATACTGCTAGTAGATTTTCGCATCCTCACTCAT